CCGCTCTCTCCGCAGGCGATCTACGCCGTGGTGAACCTGGTGATCTTCTACCCCGCCGCCTCGGCCTGGACGTGGGTGAGCGCTGCTCCTGCCCCCGGCGGTGCCCCGGGCTGGGCCCTGCTGGTCGCGGTGTTTGCGGTGACAGCTGTTTCCTCCTTGCAGCTCGCGTTCATCTTCAGCGCGGTGGTCTACGGCACCAGCTACCGGTCCATGAACTCCATGGCAAAGCCATCTTTCACAGAGGATGGCAGCCTTGCCGACGGGGGAATTGACCTGAATATGGAGCAGGGGATGGCAGAGTGAGTGTCCACACCCGCACGAGTCCAGGTGAGCAGGACCTGCTGCCTGAGCGTGCGCGCAGAGCCGGGAGAGGCCCCCGAGGAGAAGGCTCCCACCTCAGCTTGCCCACTGGTGGGGGCACAAGGGGAACTGGAAGCCCATAGCTGTTTTTATTGAGAGTGTAACTTAACTGTCCTCATTATCTGAACCCTTGGCTTGGCACATCCCAGTCAGGAGCCTCCACGCGGGGGTGTCAGCCTGGCATGGTCACTGTCCTTAGAGCTGAGGTGCAGAGATAGGAGACCCCAAACGGTTCAGCTGAGCAGCTTACAACCATCTTTTAGTTAAGGAGCAGTGCTGACAGTGTGTATGCTGTTGCAACACACAATCATAGATATTTTCTTTTTAAACCAGCACTGCAGGTAGTGCTTGACAGGGCAGAAGGACACATACTGCCAGTTATCCCATCCTGGCTGCAAACTGGCTGTGTCTTGAACTCGTGAACGCACTAAAAAGCCTCCCCTCTGTCTCAGCCAGCTCCTGTCACCTCCTCAGCCATTCCTGTCCCCTGTGCTTGTGCATTTCTTGTGTCTGTCTGCAGACAGCACCAAGTGTTTGCCTGTCCAGTGTTCTTGGCACTGCTGTAACTGTCTTTTCCTTGATCAAGGGACATACAACAGTAATTCCTGAAAAGTGCTGTTAAATAAAATAAGGAGACAGCACTATGGGAATGGCAGAAATACCTTCTAGATTTATATGTTTTCCAGCAGTGAGCCTCAAAGTAGTTACAGAAAACTGCCAGGCAGTTGTAGACACGTCAGGCTTTGCTCTCTGTCCTCCCTGTCCTCAATCTCTGTCCCTTGGTCCAGCCTCTGCTGGGGATCTTCAGTGCCTGCTCAGCAAGGTACTGGCATCCTTGGTCCCTTCCCTTCCGTGTTCTTGGCCTGCAATTCCAGGTTTACCTCCATCCTTCCCTTGCTGTCAGGCTTTTGGAGAAGCACAGTGGGGCCTTTTTTGCAACTGAGCCCTCTGTGTCACAATGGCTGTTCTCATGCTGACAGGGCCATATATTGATGTACAGGTTTGTTTTGATGAATGTAAGTTTGATTTCTGCCCAGGGATGTTATCAGCAGGCAGAAAAATTTGTGGGGCACAGAACCTGCTGTCTCTGCACAGGATGAGCTCTCATCCTGTTTTAGTGGAGTTGTAGCATTTGTACCTGCAGGTGGAGTGACTCAGCTGAGAGATGAAGTAGCCAGGAGGAGAGGGAATTATTTCTAGTGTGACTTGTGAGCTGTGTGATTTACCCCCTCTTCATCCTATAGTGACTTCACTTTCCTGCTGGTCAGCCAAGTGTTTTTCTCCCGTTTTACACTGGTTTGGCTCTCTTGAGTGGAATTGCACAATATTTTTAATACCTTTTTTAACAAAACACAACATGGGGATAGCCAAGGAGGGAAAAGATACAAGTTTGATGTCATCTGGGGTGTCCTCCTTGTTGTGGGAGATGCACTGAGGCAGAGAGGGTGCCCCAATAACTGCCCTGTGTGTGAGGGCTCTGTCAGGGAAAATCACTGACAGGAGGTAGCACAGGGATCCCATTATCTCCTGTGAAAAGCAATCACCATTACCTTCAGCCTGAGCAACTGGAGTGAGGTTTATGGCACATTAAAATGAACTGATGCTTGTCCAAGACATGGGCTGTGCAAAACACAGAGGAGGCAGAGCTATAGAAACAAAACATGTAGAGCTGAAATTCCCATCCTTACCCTGTACCTCTAAATTACCTCTGGGGATCAGGGATCCACTCTAAGCTAGTGGTTACTTCAGAATCCAGTGGACGTTTCCCTGCCTCTCTGCTGAGTGTGCCAGAGCTGATCAATCCTGCTCCTTTGGAGCTGCTTCTGGAATGCTGTGGATCTGATGATGTTTCTCTTATGCTGTCTGTAACTGGAAGGGATGCTTTGTGTTACTCTGGGGTTGAGGAAGGCAGAGCCTGCTGGTCTCTGGGTTCAGTGGGAGCTCTGCCATCACCCCCTGTGGCCTCCAGTGATGCTCAAGATTTCTGTCATCCTACAGTTGTTGATGGTGGATCCTGCAGTGTTGATAGTTCCCCTGCCTAAACCAGCTGTCTCTGGTCACTTTGCTTTGTGCTTTGCCATTGCCTTTGTTTTCTTGGCTCTGTTCTTGGATGTGACTCAAGGGTTTCTCACTCCAGCAGATGATTTAACAAGAGAGATGTTATTTCTAACCCTTCATGGCACTCCCTGAGGCTTGTGTTGAAAAACTAATACCTGGTTGCTGCTTCTGGGTGTCAGATCCCCCACGCATGGTGGTTGAGGCTTGTTCCCCTCTGTAGCTGCTCCCAGCTCTCCCTCAAGCTGGCATGGAAGACTCTGGAGTCAGATAAGCAGGAGAGGAGGAGGAGCTGTGTGTTGCTGTAGCTCAGCTTGTGGTGGTGTGCTTGTCCTTTGGTGACCCTGAGTGTGCCTGTCAGCCTGTGAAATGGCACAGGGAAGATTCATGGCTCCCTTCAGTGCAGCCAGCCATGAGCAGCTACACTTTGTGTCATGATAGGTGTCAAATCAGCAAGTGCTGGCTGCTGCTTCAGCTGTGGGGGTGGTGGTTTTGTTGCTGATTTCCACCTCCCAGCAATTCCTCAGCTGTCTCAATGTGCTTTTTTCGGAGGGAGCTCAGCTCTTTACCTCATCAGATTATTTTGTTGCTGTTGTTTGTTTACTGCTCTGATTCTTCTAGATCACTCTGTGTGGCAAAGCAGGGACAGTCCTTGGGTCGAGCAGGGTTGCTCCCTGGAGGCAGTGCAGATGGGCTGTGTTGGCAGAGGAGCGGGAGCTGGTGTGTTTGGCAGGGGCTGGAATGGAAGCTCAGTGCTTTGCTTTTCTTCCCTCAGGCACCTCAAGGATGTGATCCTGCTGACAGCTATAGTCCAAGTGCTGAGCTGCTTCTCACTCTACATCTGGTATTTCTGGCTCTTGGTAAGCCCCAGCCCGTGCTGCTTTTGTTCTTGCCTCTGCATTGTCCTTGCCTTTCCCTGAACTGAGGACATTATTTATCCGTTTCATTTCAGTGTCCTGTTTCAGGCCCCAACTATTTTCTGATACATTTTTTAATCTCCTTGTCAAATCTTGTTAAAAAATGAGGTCACACAAGGGAAAGAAGTCCTGATCCCTCTGGGTCAACCACACAAAAACTAGGCTGGCCTTGGCCTTTCCCTCTAGTCCTGTGAAAGGGCAGCAAGAAACATGAGGCAGATCAAAGATGTCTTTGTGCACAGAGCCTTTCTGTGACTCTAACAGTGTTTCTTCTTGTTTGGTTTTTCTCAGTCATTCAGCATGGACCAAGGCTGGACACTGTGCCTCTTAGTAGATAAAATGCTGTAGGCTTTGATTTCCCCTTAACACACCAAACTCTTTCTACTGAAACATTTGTCATGTGTCTCCAGCTAAAATTGCTTGTGCAGAAAGGACAGAAAATCTCCAGTTAGTTAAATTCCATAGTTGCTTTGACGACATCCCACAAAGGTACAGAAGGCAATTGTGGGAGCATGGAAAGTTATCCCATTTCAGTCCTCAGCCACAAGCTCTCTGGCTGGCCTGGCACAGGGCAGCCTCGGCTCGGCTGTGCCCTGGAGACCATCTGGATCACTGTTTTTTAAATTCAGAGAAATGTGGGTGTGTTTTCTGAAGGAAGCAGAGGTGGAATGTCTGGGCATTTGGATCCCTCTGGGTAATTCAGACCTGATGCTGGGATTTCCATATATGAAGCCTAAGCTCTGTATACGTATGCAAGTTCCTAAACCATGAAATGAAATCAGGCCGTTTGTTTTGGCCACCTGCCACTGCTTTTCATTTCCCTGCATCCTGCCATGCCTCTGCTGCAGCCTGGAGAGACACTCCAGTTCCTTTGCCTCCCTGGTAGGACCAGCCCTCCTGACTGTAGCACCACCCCTGCCAGCACTGTCCCCAGAGTGACCTAGTTTGTGCCACGTGTGTTCCGCAGGCTCCAGGCCGTGCACTCTACCTCCTGTGGGTGAACATCCTGGGGCCCTGGTTCACTGCTGACTCTTCACCTGCTGCTCAGGAACCAAACGAGAAGAAGCAGCGCCGACAAGAACGCCGACAGATGAAACGCTTCTAGCCCTGGCTGGGGATAGATTAACACCGTCTCTCATCTCCATGCTGTTGTTTCATCAGGGATGCGACTGAAACCAATCCAAAACCACCACAGTAGCTCTGTTGCCCTCTGTCATTGCTGCCATTCTGCTAGAAAGGCTGCAAGAGACTTCCATGGGTTGGCTCTTAGCACCAGCTGAGGCCTTTGTTCCTTGGGATGACGAGGGGGGTGATGCTGGGATGTGTGTAAATACCTTTTTCTAAGCAGTGCTGTATCACGTTTGAGGTTGGGAAGTGCAATGTTGGAGGAAATAGTACATTAAAGAGCAGAGTGTAAGTGACTGTGGGTGGCAGTGGGTTCATGCAGGGGAGCTGTGAAACGTGCCAGCATGTCCTTGGAGATCTGGACCAGAGGGAAGCAAAATCCCCTGAGCAGAGTGCTCTCCTCCCTCTCCAGAACTTGGTCTGTGCTGCCCTGACTGCCACAGCCTCTGCACCACTTCAAAATCATTGTGGCTGCCCTGTGGAATCAGGAGTGTAGGGCAGCTGGGCTTGCAAACTTGGAGCCTATGCTCTCAAGCAACAGATTGGCCTGTGCTACCTTTGCAGAAGCTCAGTGGAATGGAAGACAAGAAGCTGTGGGTTTTATTTGGTTTTGTGGGGTTTTTTTTGAAGAGGGCTCTCCCAACTGCAGAGTTCATGTGTTAGAGACCAGGAACACCTCAGGGCAGCTTTTATTTTTGCCTACTTTGATTTATGAATGTCGCCCCTGCCCAGTACGTTTTACAAACTCCAGTGACCCACTCCCGCTCCTGCCACCAG